CTCTGTCGTTCTGATAAGGCCAATGATTACATAATGAACTAGTTAAATCAACGAGTGTCGTTATTATAACTTCACAAAATACTTCTGGATATAAGGACATAACTAAAGCAACCATTTTTACAAATGTCCGTAATTGATTATCAGCAAAAGGAATATAAATTACATCTGAATAACTTGATGTTAAAACATTGTCGGGACCATACAATATCTTGAATATATTTCGATAGTCTTTTGGCAAATCTGTATTGAACAACTTACGAAAACGTTCCCATCCATTTCTGTAATGCCACCAAGGATTTTTCAATTCTTTTGCGCCTAGTTTTCCACTTGTAAGATTTACATAATTAATAGATGAAGTTATCCAAAATTCATCGAATGAATAACGTTCAAGATGAGCGAATACTTGAGTGAAATTAAAGAAAACATCATCAGACAGATATAATACACCGTGTAATGTTGAGAATATATCAGATTGTTTTAGTCTATCCCCAAACTGTGCACACAATGATATACATTTGTACTGATAAAAGCCACGCGATGCATTAGTACATTCAACATGATAAAGATTTGATTGCTTAAGATGTGACAATGTAATGTTAACTTGTTGTAATAGCAGATGTTTGTTTGGCTGTTGTACAACTGATGTTTGTTTCGCATTAAACTGTTTTAATATGGCTTGATTCTTCTGCGATAATTTGTCTAATGGTGACGGTGTTAGAATGATCAAATACTGGTGTATCAGAGAATAATAAGTTAATATTGACTTTAAAGAATGGCCGCTCGCATCGGGATCATAATTATAATTAATACAAATGGCAATTGCTTGTTGTCTTAAAATCAATGGCAACGACGACGAGTTGCTAGCGTTTTTCTCTTGGGGATCTTTCAGTGAGGGATAAAGCTTGTAGAAATGTGCTTCATCTAGTTGCGCTGGTGCCAGTTGAGTTTGTCGTAATAAAAGCAACAGTTGAGTTTTAAATTGATTTGTGCTTTTGTCTTTGGGATAAAGAAATATTACTAAAACGAATGATAGAAAAAGTATTAATAAAATATTTCGAGCGTAAGAAACACTGGGCGCAACAGTTCCCATTAAAGTTTACTTCAATAAATCATTTATCTAATGTTGAGTGCACCATTGTAAAGATTTTTGTATGCCTGAAATACAACAAAAAATGCAGATGTGTATCCAGGAGGGGAGGGACGTGGTGGTTGGCTATTAGCGTGTGTGTACGTGTAAATAAAGAGAGCTGTTCAGTACGCGTTTCGGCCTTGCTCAAGGTCCTCGTCAGCTGGGCTGAGAAACACAGTCTGCTGATAAACACCATGATGCTTAGTACACTACATGGTTTTGTGTGTCACTTAGCAATCGTAGAAGAAAACCAAGCAATAGTAGAATAAGACAAGAGAGAGATAAGTATCGCTTTCTTGTTCACGCTTCTTCTGCAAAACGAAGAAGAAGAAGAACTTGGCGATCATTGTAAGGTGCAGGCAATTCAAACCTCAAGTAAAAATTTGTTTTGCCGTTTTTTTTACATCATTTGATAGAGTGAGAGTTGCTGATCACGAAAAACAACTTTTTACCTTACACAAATATCTTTTTCAG